ATGTGTAGCAAATAGTGTAATGGATTCTGTAAAAAAAAATGTTGACATATTTCCTCAGCATTAGTCAGAATTCCCAATTGGAAGTGTGCACAAGTATTGCTGCAGTAAGCCAATTCAAATCTCCTCCAAAGGCACTGCCCAGTAAGCATTGGGCTGCTAACCACAAGTTGGTAGTTCAAACCCATCAGCTTCTCTGCAGAAGGTAGATGAGGCTATCTACTCCCACAAAAAACTCTATAAAGGGTTGCTGTGAGTCAGAATTGACAGGATACAGTGATTGAGTGACAATAGGTCAGAGTTCATTTGGTGTTAATGGGGTGTTATGAAAATAACTCTGGACCAACTAGGATTTTTCTTTTTCAATTCAAATAAAATTTTAATTAAAAATACAAGGGGTTAACCCTCCCCTCAAAAATGAAGAAAAGGTCAGCCTTTTTCCCAGTAGGCAAGCATGGAGCAACTCACTCTAAGTTAGTGCACCCAGTGACATCACCTGGGAAGGTTCTCTGTGGTCACAGTGAATTTTTTCATAAAAACAGTTTCACTCGAATCTCATTTTTTGTGAAGGCTGATTTAGAGAATAGCGTGTGGCTGTGAAATTTTATTCCCTGCTTGGGAAAAATGCCACAGAAACAATTGTGATGTTAAAACAACTTACAAGGACAGTACTATGGGAAAAACTCAAGCATACAAGTGGCTATGTTGTTTCAAAAAAGGCGAAATGTCAATTGATTACAAACCTCGTTTTGGATATCCAGCAACTTCCTGAATGAACAAAATGGGTGCACTTGTACTCAAAGACCAACATGGATGACTTAGGAGATGGAAAAGTTATCTGGATTATTTTGGAGCAAATTTTAGCAGAAGATTTAGGAATGAGAAGGGTTGTTGCAAAATTTGTGTCTTGGGTTCTGACTGACCAGGAAAAAAAGCATTGAGTGGAAACATGTCATGCTTTGAAAGAACAGCTCTGAAGTGACCCAGATTTTTTTCCAAAGTCATTACTAGTGACAAGATATGGTGCTATTCTTATGACCCTGAAAACAAACATCAATCAAGCCAGTGGAAGATGCTCTCGTCACCTAGCCTCCAAAAAACTTTGATTTCAAGTGAAATCAAAGATCAAGATGATGCTCATTTGCTTTTTGGTTTTTGATGTGAGGGAGATAGTGCATTTGGAGTTCATTCCACCAGGTCTGTTAATCAAGCTTTCTATTTAGAGGTTCTGAAAAGATTGCATAGCAGTGTGCAACAAAAAAAGACCTGATTTGTGGCAGACAGGGGACAGATTTTGTCACCACAACAATGCATCTGTTCACACAGGTATCTCAGTGCACCAGTTTTTTGGCAAAAAAAAAAACCCAACCCAAACAGCACGCCTCTCTTGTCCCATGCTCCTTACTCAGTTGACCTCACTCTGTGAAACTTCTTTTTCTTTCCACGAATACAGAGGGATATGAAAGGACAAGTGTGCTAGTCTGGGTAAATAAGAGAAACAAATTCATAGACATTCATATGTATATAAGAAAGAGGTTTATATACAAGAGCAATTGAATATTGAGAAAATGTCCCAGCCTAGTCCAGATCAAGTCCATAAGTCCAATGTTAGCCCATACATCTGATACCAATCTATAAAGTCCTCTTCAGATTCATAAAACACATGCAATGACGACAAATGCAGGAGGATCACAGGCCAGAGTGTTGGAAGCCTTCTGGATCCAGTGGCATTGTAAGCATCTCAGTGCTGGCAGGGATCTCTATGTGGCTTCTCCAGCTCCAGAGATCTGTTTGCATCAGGGTAGGTCCACGTGGCTTCTCCAGCTCCCAGGGTGTAGCATCATGTGCATTGTCAGTAGAGTGTCTGTCTCTCAAAGAGTGATCAGAGAGAGGTGTCTCTTGCCTCTAAGGAGGAAATACCAGCATTCCCAGAATTCTCAGAAGGCCATGCCCACACAGAGGCCTCATTGGCTATGACCTGATTGACAGACTAGAGTCCACCCCTTCACTCTCAATCCTTAAATTGACACCAGATTATGTAACTACCACAACAGCTATTTGATGATGTAGAGGAGGTGAATAAACAAAACAAAACAAAGCCAAAAACATGAGGGAGATGCCGTCAGCTTTCCAAACAGATGGGTTTGAAAAATATTCCCAAGAATGGAATCACAGATTTCACGAATGTATTAAGTGTAATGAAGATAAAAGTGGGTGAAGGGAGACGTCGGACAGTGTAAGAAATGACAAAATAATAATAATTTATAAATTATCAAGGGTTCATGAGGGAGGGAGGAGCGGGGAGGAAGGGGAAAAATGAGGAGCTGATATCA